CCCCAAAACCCCAAAACCCCAAAACCCCAAAACCCCAAGGAGATATGCAGGGATTGAAGTTTTAGTAGTTTTATTGTATTAATTAATAGTGATATTGCTATGGGAAATCAAACTTAAACTTTAGTTTTCTTGAAATTATTATTTCTTGTAATATTTATTCAGAAAGCTCCAATTTTCCATACTAATCTTGATATCTGGCCTCCACTTGATTCCTTTCAAATACTTCCTCAACATCTCTGTTCATTTTGGACTAATCATGACTGAATCTCGATCCTTTTCGACCAAAATAACTCTGACGCTTACCAAATTCCTTCACTGACTAATCACTTCTACCTTTTCTAACATCTTCTCCGTCTCAGTACCACTCGAGTCCACATCCATGAACAAAATAAGACTCAATCTTCTAAACTTGCCCAGTTTTTCTACTGTAAACTCCTCATAAGAAGGATCACTTGTGTTGAACAGGGGCATTTCAAGGCAGATCTTGGATTCTTTCTCTGCAGTGAAGGAGAACAGGGATTTGGACATTGAAGAGGTTCAGGCTGGGGTGTCATGAGTGCCGGTTCCGATACGGTATATTGTGAGGATTTGGCAACGAAGTTTATCGTAGAATTCCCAGTTAGAAGCTAGCTTGCTGATTTGGAGGGAAGAGGTTGGTGGAGAGGGCTCTGATGTAGGAAAAAAGGATGTCACTTTGTATATTTCCCATTTTGTGATTGAACAGTGGTTTGTTTCGATACTTTTTATTTCAGATATTGGGATCATCAACCATTGTCCGTTTCCATGTTTAGAAAAATATTCCCTGATACTTTTAGCATCCTTGAGAGAATGTAGAAATTTGATTTGTTTCTTGCAAACTTTACCTTCCTTTCAATTCTCAATTGATATTATTTCAAAACAATATCAATAAAGCAAGTCTTCATACAAAACCAATTTTTTTTACATATGCTTCTACCTCAAATTCATATATCTTTGGTAGGATCCCATTTTTGAAAGCTGAAGCAAGCATAGCTCTTTCAGATCTTATCTTTATTACAGTTCATTTCACATCACTCCCACTTGCAAGTACTGATTTCATCATCCTCCCTTTTATTAGATCTCATAACTGATAAGCATGCCAATTATTCCGACAAATACTCCTTCAAAGCTCTATTTTGGCAAGGTTTGGATAAAGCTGGTCAATAATGGAACGAAAATCTTGATTATCTATGAAAAATTCATTTTTAAACCCACAGACAGAGACCTCCTTGATTTCACTAAAGACTGGCTTTTCAATATCATCTAGGCTGATTCAGCAAAGGTCAGGATAATTTTCTTTTTTCGTATTTTTGTTCAGCCTAATCCATTTGTTGTTGACAATGTATTTTGAGTTCACTAAGACAATCTTGTTTGAGGAATTTACTTTTGGAAAAATCAGTAGCTCTTTATTGAGAGGCCCTTTAAAGTATACTTTTGAAATAATATCACTATAGAAAATCTCTTTGAAATTCCTGAAGTTTTTAGTTACACTTCTTTCCAAAGTATTGGGTCCTAAAGCTTGTGCAATAATTTTGATGTTTTGGATGGCGTTCTGTGGATCTATTTTATCTTGATGTACCTTTGTGTAAGAAAAATTCTTCACAATAACGAGGGATTTGATCTGGCTTACACTTGGAATCGATTTGATAAACTGCAGGGTCTTTGTTGCTCATTGTTTTGTCTGAATTTGGTATTGATCGAATACCAAAATTCAGTTATAAAGTCACTTGTCGTCTATCCAATGAGAGATAGTTCTTGAGTCTATAAAGATTGGTCTAGTGTTTTCCCCAATATAATTTACCCACATTGGTAATCTCTCTACCCAGAGCTTTCTTGATATACCGGAAAACTGTCTCATTAGGATATCTCATTCAGATATGTGAGCGTAATAAGGCAATACATTTCAGATCTGTGACTGTTTTGAGAACAAATGCTTCCTTTTTAATTTTCCTTTAACAAGGCGTCGGTCTTTAATGCTCTGTAGAGGGGCATATCGTGCCATTTGGCTTTTATGAAACAAGTTTAACTGATTATTAGTCAGAAATTCATCCTTTAATTAGCAAATTATTAAAACAGTTCCTTCAATTATTTTTAATTTTAATGGGGTTTTGGGGTTTTGGGGTTTTGGGG